ATCATTAGTCATTTGCTGAGATTGAAGCTGGCTCTTTACTTGTAATTCATTGCAAGATAATGACAAATCTATTGACCTCAATTTATAAAATGATTACTCTAAAGATAATGAGTTTATCTGGGTGACAGCAGCAATCAAGTGATTCAACTTTTTCAAATTAACACAGGAAGAGGAATTTATTATTAAAATGACCGCGAAAATGAGTGATTTTCCAAGAAAATATCAAAAGACATTTTTTTGCGAAAATTTTGTTCCCTATAAAAAAATATCTCTTGACATTACTCGGTAAACCTGACAATTTCCAGGATATTTTAAGCTAAATTTGAGTATATATTACTGGGATTTACACTGACAGAAAAATCTGAAGTTCGATTTACAATGAAAAAATAGTTGAGGCAATTTTGGTGAAAGATACGATTTTTTTTTGTATGCTGCACATAACATTATAGTAACTTCACAAACGTAATTTTTGCAAATCAAAATGCAGTTAAACTAAGCAAAGTTCAAAAGTAACCACGACAAATCTATCGTGAGTAGAACTATAAAATAGTTGCAATGACTACATTCCATTGTAGTAATCACTTCCCCGGCCATAATTACCGTAACCCATGCAAAATTGTTGAGCACTTTTTGACTATAATTCGATGGTGATGGAATATAGTCAGAAGAATCATATTTTTCTCGGAGTGTAGCGTCTGGCTTTATTTTAAAAATAAGAGCTCAACTTTTCAGAAGAATTATCCATTTCAGATAATTCCATTAAACAGTTTTAAGTGTCATTCATTGTATTATTCATGCATGCAGAGGTTATTGTCATTTTTTCAAATATTCAAATATAAATGGAAAATTTATCATCTTCCATAATCACTATTTATAGATAAATTGATTTGATCTGATTTTTAAACTAAACGATCATAAATTGTGTTTTTCTTGCATTTAAAATGATTTTCCTCAATTGATTATTCACAAATTTCACTGTGAACTGTTGAATAATTAATCGTGAATAATATTGTACAACATTCCATAATGTTCATCGACAGAAATAGCTCCCGATTTTATTCAACGCCTCCACAAATGAATAATTTAAATTTAGGTCAGTTTTCAATTAAGGCCCGGGTGTACTATCTTTCGAATGTTATCTGATTTTTTTTTATTTTTCGTAATCCAAAATTGTCAATTGTGTGGCAAAATACATCATGTAGAAATTCCCCAAAAATTATGATAGTAAAGTAAAACATGGTTAAAAAAATGTATCAATGTTTGTTTCCCTTTGACAACATGTCATCATCACCCCTTTGTGATGAAAAGACCCTGGGACCTTGCAACTCGTTACTCTTCCATTCGAACTTGTTAAAATGCAAAGGTGCGGTTAAACGGAGTCTTTCTCGGGAGATTTGGCACGTTGACTCGTTAGTATTCTACACCAGTTGTTTTCCCCTCCTTTTTTTTTAAGAGGGTGTCCTCTCTGTTCAACTACCCGGCCTACATGTAACATGTTCTTCGCATTAATATACCACGGGCTTAAGACAAAGGACGAGAGATCGCCCTGCTCTACTTCGTTGTCTTTTTTTTCTCATCTCCTACCTCCAGTTGGTTCTCCTTACCCTCAATTTCCTCTTTATCATTGAGGCGGTGAAGGGTAGAGCATAGAGCCATCACGTCCAACGGACCAACTGTAGATTTTCATTAGGGTGACGGGTTGGTACGTTAGATTGGAGATTAGAGATTTTTTTGGTTATCACGACCTAAAGTGTTTATCTGAGAATAAGTTACCGCTGACAATTAGTTTGCAATTGAAATATTTTGAAAACTATTGAAAATTCAACGTTTCTAGAATGATGATTATAATAGAGATTTGCCTCAAAGGCCATTTTATACATTATAAAATTCTCGACAGCATTTCTCAGATTACCATAATAACAGACACCTTTTCGAAATGAATGCCTAGTGTTAATGACTCAACCAAACGCTACAAAGTGTCCCATGCTCTGTTGTCTCACGTGTGGACGATGCTTTCGAANGAGTGTAGCGTCTGGCTTTATTTTAAAAATAAGAGCTCAACTTTTCAGAAGAATTATCCATTTCAGATAATTCCATTAAACAGTTTTAAGTGTCATTCATTGTATTATTCATGCATGCAGAGGTTATTGTCATTTTTTCAAATATTCAAATATAAATGGAAAATTTATCATCTTCCATAATCACTATTTATAGATAAATTGATTTGATCTGATTTTTAAACTAAACGATCATAAATTGTGTTTTTCTTGCATTTAAAATGATTTTCCTCAATTGATTATTCACAAATTTCACTGTGAACTGTTGAATAATTAATCGTGAATAATATTGTACAACATTCCATAATGTTCATCGACAGAAATAGCTCCCGATTTTATTCAACGCCTCCACAAATGAATAATTTAAATTTAGGTCAGTTTTCAATTAAGGCCCGGGTGTACTATCTTTCGAATGTTATCTGATTTTTTTTTATTTTTCGTAATCCAAAATTGTCAATTGTGTGGCAAAATACATCATGTAGAAATTCCCCAAAAATTATGATAGTAAAGTAAAACATGGTTAAAAAAATGTATCAATGTTTGTTTCCCTTTGACAACATGTCATCATCACCCCTTTGTGATGAAAAGACCCTGGGACCTTGCAACTCGTTACTCTTCCATTCGAACTTGTTAAAATGCAAAGGTGCGGTTAAACGGAGTCTTTCTCGGGAGATTTGGCACGTTGACTCGTTAGTATTCTACACCAGTTGTTTTCCCCTCCTTTTTTTTTAAGAGGGTGTCCTCTCTGTTCAACTACCCGGCCTACATGTAACATGTTCTTCGCATTAATATACCACGGGCTTAAGACAAAGGACGAGAGATCGCCCTGCTCTACTTCGTTGTCTTTTTTTTCTCATCTCCTACCTCCAGTTGGTTCTCCTTACCCTCAATTTCCTCTTTATCATTGAGGCGGTGAAGGGTAGAGCATAGAGCCATCACGTCCAACGGACCAACTGTAGATTTTCATTAGGGTGACGGGTTGGTACGTTAGATTGGAGATTAGAGATTTTTTTGGTTATCACGACCTAAAGTGTTTATCTGAGAATAAGTTACCGCTGACAATTAGTTTGCAATTGAAATATTTTGAAAACTATTGAAAATTCAACGTTTCTAGAATGATGATTATAATAGAGATTTGCCTCAAAGGCCATTTTATACATTATAAAATTCTCGACAGCATTTCTCAGATTACCATAATAACAGACACCTTTTCGAAATGAATGCCTAGTGTTAATGACTCAACCAAACGCTACAAAGTGTCCCATGCTCTGTTGTCTCACGTGTGGACGATGCTTTCGAAATTCCACTGCACCCAACTTACTCTCTTCCTCCATCACATTATCCTCGTCGCTGTGGATAATTAGTACCCAGCTCCGGCAAAATATGGAACGAGTTCGGCTAACAATTCTGTCATCATCACTCCGTCGAGGATTAATGTGACAAATCACTTGATTTTTCTTAGTATGCGTTTACACGTAAGACTGTCACAGTACAGGTGGAAGAAAAGTGTGTCTGGGGGGGGGAAGGCATAGAAGAGGAAAAAATATTCCGAGGATTTTGGACTACCTGAGGCCACCATCAACCCACTGTTTTGTCGAAGTATGAGCACGTACTTGGCCGGTACCAGGAAAAAGGATCATGGAGTGGACTTAGCGTTGAAATCCTCACCCCCTCCTTGGTAAAACTTGCACGGAATAACAAAGTTTTTCGTTTTACCCGTGTTACGTTGCAAAGAGGGCTACAAGATGCCCTATGTCTTCTTCTTTCAAATTAAGGGGATCAAACTCAAAAGTGACAATGGCATGACTTGTATTTTTAAGTTGAAAAAAAAACAGAAAAAAAAGAAAAGCATTTTTGTTTCAACCAATTTCCTTCTGATGTTGAACACAAATCGTTTACCACAATTCCATAAATATCAAATATTTCCATTGAAATTGTATCTCACATAAACACACGCCTGAAGGAAATAGTCTTGTTTATTTATATAGACTGAAAAAATAAACAAAAGGGAAAATTTAACAGCTTACGCAAGAGTATACCAATGAGTGTGGTGCGTACCAATTCTCTTGAGAATTACGGACGGTGAATTATTTTTGGAACAAACTAATACACTTTTGCTACTCTCGCGACGCTTTGAATCGATCTCACAATGTCTTTCTTTTTGCTATTCTTTGTTTTACCCTAACTTTTATATTTATTTCTTGGGAGATTCGGCTTTCAACCTTGAGCAATATATACTTACATCCGGTGCTGGAGAGGGTTTCACCAAGATAGCAATGTGTCACATCGGCGAAACTCGAGACATTCCTTGTGTCTAAGAGTGACGTTCTATCACAATCCTGAAGAAAAATAATTGCTTTTCAAAATTGTACATATTTTTATTGGGGTGAACATTGGGTTGACGATGTAATGAAAATCAGCTGATTTTTTCTTTTCATGCATTTGCAAATTTATTTTAAATAAACAACATGAAAAATATAAAAAAATTGTCATTTAATATTCCAAAGGGAGCAACAAAATATTGAAGAAAAATGATGCATTGAGTATCGAATTTACGAATCACGCCTAACGATGAAGAGAACCGGACAAAATGGCCCGCCGATGCTGAATTTATATCGTGTGTTTAGGTGAGAATTGGTTCTTTATGAGTGGCACGTGAGAATACTTCATACGATACTCGCCAAGGCAAAGTTGAGACGTGCAAAACTCGAAAACGTAGCAACCGTTACTATGAGAATCTTTTTCGTCCTATACACTGGCCGATTCTACATCGTGGTATATTCTCGGACACAGTAGATCGTAACCCACATACGTATATTTGTTTTTTTTATTCCGCTGTTAATCGAGACTTTATTTCTCATTTTTTTTCAACAACTCTTAAATTTCTGGCAATATGGCAATGATGATTATAAAAATTTCAACTATCCATTCGTTGTGTTACAGAATGATGACTTGGTCTTCGATTCAGACGGGAAACAAGCGTCATTTTCAGTTCCAGTAGTTGACAAAACTGTGGACACATTCTTCAGCCGGGTTAAAAGGCAATTTAATTTGTTCGATTGGTTTAAACCAACGACAACCACAACAGTAGCTCCAGGTAAACACACCTTTCCGTCTACATAAAAATTCAAGGCATATAAAAAATTGCTCCTTCCATTTGTAGATACAGAACCAACTACAGTAGCTACAACAGATTTAATCGACTATGCCACCACGCTGCATCATCGCACTGCTAGAAACAGTGAAGAAATTATTGGCGATTCAAATCATGTCAATGGAAATGTCGACAAAAATGACGAGGTAATTTTTCGTTATATATATTTTGTTATATTTCGTTATATAATTCAATGAAATTTGTATATAAAAACTCATAATTATTCACTGAGAGGAGTAATAAGTTGGAGCTAGTTCATTTCATTGTTTCAATTATGAAAAAAGTCAATCCAATGAAAATCAGTAGTAAAGTGGTGAAGGAAAATAAGTCGGTTTTTTTTCCGAAAATGAGTTATTGATGGAAAGCCTGCGATTCCTGCGAGTTAAGTCGACTTTTACTTATTTTGCATATTAATTTTATTGAAAGAGAGTTCAAAACTCTACACCGTGTCCCTCTGGCGGTAAATTTCACCCTTTTTTTTCTTGTGGGAATCACTCACACGGAAATAGTATTTTTCCGGGCTGCTGCGATGAGGTTTTTTACTCGTGTGGCGTTGGCGACCGAGCCGAAGGCGAGGACTGGCCAACCACACAATTAAAAAAACCCATCGCAGCACCCCGGAACAAGATTTTTTTGTAGTGATTTTCAAGTTTTCGAATTTGGGAAGTATGCAATACCAATTCCCAGACGAGAAATCGTCAGAAGTAGTACAGAAAATTATATATATGAATGATGAAAATGTTAGGGCAATGACATTGAAGAACCGGCGGCGTCGAGACAACGACCTGATTACGATAATCCAGACGATGAGGATCTCGCGGCTGGCTCCGGAGAGGTCGAAGGAAGTGCCGCTGAGGACTCGATCCATACAAATAGACAGCCACAAGGAGGACGGCAGCCTAGTAAGTGTTTTTCCTTCAATTGAATAAAATTACTGGGTTTCATATTCATTTTCAAGAATACTAAATAACACAATGAGAGAAATAGTTTATTCACTGCATATTGAGAAATCTAATTGCGATTCTATTAATCTCATTCATTGATGATTATTCATGATACAGAGTTCTACCGAATCACTGTGACTGTACAAGAACCGTACATCGCTGAATACACTGACACGAGGAGTTCTGATTACGTACAGCTGAGCAAAAATTTGACTCAAGCACTCGATGAACTGCTGTCTCAACGCATTCCCAACCATGATCATGTTGCTAATGTCGTTAAAATATCGTGAGTAGCTCATCGTCACTGTTAAATAAAATTCAATAAAGTTTTGGCAATTTCTTTTATTATCATTATATTGTTCAAACAGTTTCATAGCTACCAATGAAATTGGTCAAATGAAACCAATTCACACTTTAATGAAAATTTGATTTTTTTACAAGTATTTTTTCATCTGGGAGAGATAAAGAATTTTTCTGGAGCAAAGTGCTTAATTAAATATTTTTCAGTCTGAATTCCAACATCTCATTATCAGAAATAGTTGGATAATTTTTGAACACATCTAATGCCCTCCAAATTTCCAGACCAAAAGATGATGCATTTACTTCAGAAGTCACTCTGGACATTGGGTCAACTACGCCTTACGAGTCCCAAGTGCGGGAAATCCTGGAAGAACAGTTGCAGATGCATGTCCTAGGAAATGTTCAGGTGTCCCCCGAAGGATTCACATTCCGTAGCTTCCCAGGTGAGCAGTATAATATTGTTTTGGGCAGTTTAATTGGTTGCACTGTAGATTTCAAAATCGTAATAATTGTGATTTCACTATATCATAGAAATTGATAAAACATTAGGAAATTTAGTTCCATATGTTGTATTTTTTTTTTGTCTATTTTAATGCACATTAGAATGTTTCGAGCACACTCATCTTAAATGTAGAGATGGTACTTGCGTGCCTCTAAGTGCACGTTGCGATGGTGTGCCCCAGTGTCCAGATCAGTCTGACGAGTTGGACTGTACAGCAAGCCCAACTGAAGAAACTCGTAAGTATTCAGTACCCCCTTTTCATTATCCGAACATTTAATTTCAGTCTTCAACACCATAATTTTTTCCATCATTCTTAATTCTTTTTTGTTCTTTCAAAGTTTACTTTATTCTGTTTTGTGTTCGTTTTCCTCAATTTTATCAATCACTGACTCAGATTATGACAGTGAAACTGAGTATCCAGGTATTCTATCACCGACTAATGACACAAACGAGCCCAAACGTTTACCAAGGCCTCCCTCTGAAAACAATTGCCGCGGCGATGATGCAGTTCCTTGTAAAGATGGAAGTAGATACATTTGTTCGGTGCAAGAGTGCGATGGCATTCCTGATTGTGACGATGGTGCTGATGAGGAGGATTGTGGAACGAGTATGTTTCTTCCTTTTTTTTCTTTTTTTCATAATTTGTTCTTCTGTTTCTTCTTCAGTGAAACAATCCAGATAAACAGTAAGAGTATTCTATATCGTCAGTGATACAGTATTTTGATTCTATTAATTTTGATTACAGGTTGCGGAAGTGATGAATTCTCTTGTGACGTCGGTCGGTGCATCTTGCAGAGGCAACGGTGTGATTTTATTCAAAATTGCGAGGATGGCAGTGATGAGAGAAGCTGCAACTATCCCGGTAAGTTATCATGTTTTTCTATTATACCATGTGCGCTATTACCGAAGCTGTGCATTGGGGTCTCTACTGGGTGTAGAAATCATCTGTACCGACAGCTCTACCGGTACACTGCCAAGTTTTCACACAATGGTTACAATGAAGACAAATAGCAGATTTGCTGTTTTTCATTTTTTTTCTATTATCCACCTTTGTGATCGTTAAAAACGATTTATACTCATAAAAAAAATCATTACATAATTTTAAATATTTTCATCTTTCTAATTGAATGTTCCGTCAAGAAAGAACAATATTGCTCATTACTCCTGCAAATAACATGTTTGATATATTGGTCATTTCCGTCACCGCGGTGGTTTGACAGCCAAACGTAAAACTTTCCACCCACGTGTATCTGCGTACCTAGACAAGAATATGCTCCGTAAAAATAAGGTCGGGGAAGGAATGAATGAGGGGAAAAAAGTAGAAGGGACGAAGAGGAGGTGTCAGCAAGGCGAGCGAGACGATCGAATGAATATTCAACGTTGTGAGAGCTTTTTCATCTCGATGCTGGGTACTTGTCGGGCTTCCGACATATCTCAGCCTTCCCAGCCCCTCTCCGTCTCTTCCTCACGCTTGAACCAACTTTGAGGATCATCATGAGTGTTATACAACCAACAATGCGGAAAAGGACAGCCACCGGAAGTAACACTGACGATAGAAATGTTTCTCGTCTCGACTTAACTTCCGGCTTCATCTAAGCACCTGCTGTATTATGAGTCAAATAACTTGAAGAGGAGTATTCCTTACGACATAGAAAACATAGAACTAGCAATTCGATTCAACTTTGTGGTAATGTCTGCGTTGTTTAGGCTTTTAAATTTCCGCTCTCGACGTGTCGTATTGATGAGGAGACAAAGATGCATCTTTAATCTATTCTTCTACTTTTGGTAGGAAATGCAACTGTTAACTCGTTTAAAACTAGTAGATAACGGATAAAAAGTCGCGTATAAAAATAAAAAAAGCAAAAAAAGACAAATTAGAGAAAAAAAACGGATAGAAAACGTTGGGGGGTATAGGTCGTGTCTTTTGCTACTTTGCTTAATCAATAATTGAGAATTCCCCGGTTGACAAGGAGAAATTGTGAGGATAATAAACATGAAAGACTCACGAAGAGCGGATTTCTCCATCCAAAAAGACGCGTTTACTCTGTCGTTTGTAATCCACTGCGTCCCTGTGGACAATTATGAGCAAATGCAGAGAGGAAATAGTTAAACCGGAGTGCACGCCAGGCACCACCACGACGGATGTCAAATATCAGTAGTTTCTTAGCATTAGTTCACTTTTTCAAAGTTGTTATTATTATTTTTATTTATTGGGGAGAGTAGGGTAAAACGGCCCCTTTTGATTTTTTCAAAAATGTTAACCGCTCATTCAACTTTAAATAAAATGGAATCATTTTTTTTCCATGGAAACTACACTTCTTCCCCTTTAGCCTAGACTGATCTCAATTAATGAATTTGGTTCTGAGTTATGAGTATCGAAAAAAAAAGTCAAAAGGGGCCGTTTTACCCCACTCTCCCTTCTATTTATTTTTGCTTTTTCCTTCCTACAAGTTTTTTTGAGTCTTGATTTTGATGTGTATGAATCAGTTATAAATTTCGATAAATTTTTTTTCATATGGAGAGGGCCAATCATAGATAAAATTACAAGTTTCAATAGATTATTTTATATCTAAACGTCTCCATTAGGCGCTGCGGCGGGGAGGAGACGTAATTCTTGTCAGAGAGTTAATCATCTTTATGCTGTATTTAAATTATTTAACTCTGGTGACGCGCGGTAATTAGTCCTTCCATCGGTTTATCCCATTAATAATATGGAGAATAATTCATCACTAGTATGAAAATTTAGCTGAGAAGCCGTTAAATAAACCCATCATAAATTGTAAATCTACAAACATTATAATTGCCGTGTGGCATTCCAGTGGCGCCAGTATGAGTGGCCAAGCTCAAAGAGATCGCCTGTGTCCGTAATAACCATGCGGTCGCTCGTTTAATTGAACGGCATCTTGTAACAAACCCGATAAGGAAATGCGGATCTTTTTCTCATTTGGCCTCCCACATGCATGTCATGCTATATTTCCCATGCTTCGGGAGTGAATTCTCCACAAAAATTATGAATGAAATATTTACGTCCAATTCGTTTGCTACTGAAATTATAAAAATGGCGAACTAAACCGTTTTACTCATTAAAACAAATTTCATTTAAATCCTCTATTAAATCGAACTTAATGTCATAACATGAAAAAATTTGATATTGTGGGTTGTAGATGAGTTTCACGCTTTTTAGTATTGATTGTGGAGTTTTTCTGAGAAAAAACAAAACAAAACAATACCAGTGCTCGTCCTTCACGCCTTTCTGTATCTCGAAATTAAATTCCTCCCGCATCCCTCATCTCACCCTCCTTGTGAGTGCGATAAGCAACCGCTGTATAACGCCTGAGACCAGATTGGTAGGCGTAACCCTGCTTGGTAGTAATAGTTTTCACACTCCTCCGTCCAGTCATAAAACAATACGACCTGTAGTTCACAGTATTTCACGCAGAGATGAACCTTTCACTGTATACATTATTCCAGCTCAATGTGCATATATCCGAGGTGCAGAGACAAATGATTCACTCGCTGTTCTCCTCATGATTTTTGCGCTGCGTGTGAGCAATCAAAAGTTTTTTTTGTTTTTTTTCTGTTTTTTGTTTTCGTGTTTTTTGGCACTACATCTCAGGTTCTGTTGAGAAGAAAAAATTCATTGGAATTCGGTGGAAAGCTTTTTATGGCAAATGGAGATTCAATTTTCTTTATCAATTTTCACCTATGTTTAAAAAATGTTAGTGTTACTCGACCTTTGGACGTGCTAGTCTTGATCCGTTCGTTTCAACAAAATTATAGATCAATTGATGAAATTGAATTTTCGCCTAATTTGGATTACCACCCTTTGATTATCAAAAATACATTGTAGAATTTCAAGTGCCATTTTCTCCTTCGCACGTATATGACCCTGTAAGGGCCCTTGTAATTAGTCTCATCTTGGCGTCCCTATTGTATAATTAAACATCATTCCTGTCATTTTTATCTTCTCCTCAAGCGGAAAATTTGAATAAGAGGCTTGTGCCAAAGACACAAACCAGTAGGTCGAGGGGCATCCCTGTCCCTTTTATTCCACATTTAAATCATCTGGATAATCAAAAGGGGGTGGGGGGTTAGAGCAACGTTGGAACTTTAGGAGGTTGGCGTAAATGTCAGAGTGTAACGGTAACCAGTCGCAAGCTTGACGTCAAATTATTTTCATTAATGGGGAAAATTGAAGATTATTACTTTCGTGCAAACTGCATTATTGAGTTCATGATATGAGAACTCTATTCAGCTGACTTTGCAATGGGATTAATGTTGTATTAATAACTTAAAATCATTATTCATGAGATGGTCATATGGGGGAAGATATTGGATCGATTAATTTGCAGTATTATATTTGAATCAAGTTAGTCTCGGAAAATCCACCAGTGAATGATGGATTTTATGGAATATACGTGATCTATATGTTTACTTTTAATGTGTTTAATCAATATGTTTGATTTTTCGTACCTTTTCATAGTTATCTCCTACTGGAGGACATATCTATTCCTTTATTATTTATTTATACACAACACAATAATCAATCAATGATGAGAGACATTATTTATTTTATTTTGTGAATTATTTCATTTCATTCCTTTGATTCAAATTATTCGATACAAATAATTACATTTATATTGGTATTTTACTCACGTTTGATAATACCTTCAACTTCTGATAGACATTGTAGAGGAAAAGTTGCAACACGGGTAGAATCTTTTGCGGCGTTCGCTCTGAGTTTGTAAAAGTCAGTTATGAAATTAAAACGAATTTCAGAAATCAAAGAATCAAAAAATAAAAATTAGGCCAACCATGATTCATATTCTCTTTATTTTTTTGTTTGCATTACTATAGCACTATTCGTATACCGAAATGTGTCAGGCTAAATATAGAAACTAGATGATTTTTGGATGATATTTGCCATTTCATAAAATACTGCAATTTATACATAAAAAAGCCATTCAAAGTCACATTGTAATTAACATTGAGAATGGATAAGCCGCCGTAGTATGAAGACTGCGCGCGCAGTCAACCGCCAACTCCAAAAGGACCAAAATATACGTACACCAGTGCGCGGCGCCAAAGTCAGTACGAAACCTATATAATAGTCATAACGTAACGGCACAACGTGAAAGCACTGTTCTTTCGATCGCGCTGCCGTTGACTCCCAACCGAATTTTCATTTTAGAACGTAAAAAAATAAACAAAAAATAACCAAAGTATCAACATTTCCCCAGGCACGATAAAATTCTATGTCAAAGCCGAATGGAAATCCTATTTTTATAATTTCCCTCTGAATCCCTCTCGAGTCGACACTATAAATCACCGGGTGGTTCTAAACGGCTCACAAAATCGGGAGACGAAAAAAATAACAGCAGAGGATACAAATTAGTTTGTCTTATTCTTTATTGGTTTTTGAATAAATATAGAAATTGGGAGTGAAATAATACGTACAAAAAATTAACTTTCACCAATTTATTATTTTTTCTACATCCCTATTTATTTAAATACCTTCAATTTAGAAATTCATTTAGCTCTGTCAATATCTTTTCAATTATTAGGTTTGTCGAGACAAAATAGTTAATAATCAATTTCCACGATTCATTAAGCCAAATTATTGATAAAAAATTGAACATACTCCAGTCTAATTAAACACTGATGAAATTACAGTGAAAAACATTTTTCAAGTGCATTTCTGACAGCAAGGTTGCAATAAAAAAGGAGTGGGTTGAGCATCAAGTTTAGTGAAGAAGGGGAGAGGGAAAAGGACATCAGACAGCAGTTAAAAAGAGGTACAAGCGAGGATCCAAAGTAGCTTAGTGCCTCCCACGCGCTCTTATATAGGAATATCGGTGGAGG